TAACCCTGCGATGGACTAGCGTCCCATCCAGGGGGGAGTAGAAATACTCCTAGTCGCTTCATGCTACAGAAACCGGGATACGCTTCGGCCTGATGGGCCTCTTGGTTCGTAGGCAGACTTTCTTTTATATATATTCCTTACACAAAAGGCATCTATGCAACTCAGATCTCTTACCATTTTCACGCCGGGAGTCGTCAATAGAGAGGAAACCAGTCACAAGACTTTGATTTGTGTGAGGCCAGAAAACCCAGTCTTGGTGCCATTTGATTGGACAACCGCCACGGTCTGGATAGTTCAAAAACAAACAGTCGTGTTGAATGTAACGGATGGAGGGACCGATCTGAAAAGCAGAGCAAATAATGTTTCAAGCAATTCAACCGAAGCAAGAAGGCGTGCATACGCTTGGAAATTCCAAGAGAGAGGGGTAGGAACCAAAACTGGAATTTCCACATGGATGGGGGACTGGGGAGGTTCTAGCCTGTTCCAGGCTCTTGGTCAGTAGGGACGATCGAAAAAGCGGGTGGGTGATGAGCAGGGTCAGGCTCTTGAAAAATCGTTGGTGGGGGAAACAAGAGATGGTATTATTTTCAAGTTTCGTTTGGAGAACTTCAAGGATTTTTAATACCTAACATGGCGTGTAACTTTCTCTGCTCAGATTCTCCCAACAGCGAAATTTAGAAAGGGAACGAAAGACAGCAGAAACGAAACTTATAAGCCTACAGCAAATCCACTGAACCAAGAGATTATGATCATGGTCTCCTGACCGAACCCAGAAGCTTACCAGGTCAGAAACAATGTCCAGCAGTTTTTTGTCGTGATGTATGTCTTCAAAGACAGGATGAACCACTGAAGGCAAGTTCACGCGTTTCAAAACTGGTTTGGACGAATTGTCTTTCCACTCAAGATTGTAATTTCCGTCAGACTCTGTCATGGTGGCGGCCCTGGTGAAGCGAAAGAAGACATACAGTGTTACGACAACGGCAACGAGAACGCCACCAAACAAAAGGTTTTATGAGCAAAATAATCACTGTGCACGTGCGTTATAAATCTTTGTATATTCCGTAACTGTCCTCTTCAAAACAACAACGTGAAATGATCAAGTTTTGCGTTTTTTGAAGAACTTAAGCCACGACTGCTAATTTTTCGTACTTTGATCTGAAATTGATCACTGGCGTTACATCTTTAGTTTGAGTAGGGATTTAGACCGCTCGGCTTACTGAGCAGTTCTAGATAATTGCGAAATTCAAAAGTAAAATATAAATCCATTTTTTTTTTTCAGCCGTGGTGGTCACCGAGACGTTATCAGTTAATTCCAGCAATGGCCATCCCCCCTTCTAGGCCACGCCCGG